GACCTACATCAACTTCCCTACATTAGGAGTTTACCTGTGTTAACATGGTCAGTCTCTCTAACCACCCTAGGAGTGCAGGACTGTTGTTGGCCTTGTCTTACTGATGGCGAAACTGAGCCACCGAGGGACTATGTAACACTCCCCTTGTTATTCTGATTCTCTGATTCTCGGTATTAGAATCACTGGGGGAGATTTGGAAAAATACCTATACTTGAAACCTGCCTCTGACCAATTAAAGCAGAATCCTGAGGAGAAGGGACTGGGGAATCTAAATTATTTAAAGCTCTCCTTGTGATTCTAATATACAGGCAGGTTTCAGAACAGCTGGTTGATACCTTATGGCTCTCAGTGCTTTAGACTGTTAGGAGGAAAAGACGTCCCAGATGAGATTGTCCCCAGATTTAATGACAGAAACCAAGTAATCCTGAGCTATTGACAGCATCTATCTAGTGGGTGCAGAAGGGAGAAGGGACCAAGAGTTTTTTAGGACAGGCTAAAAAAGCAGCCCTATGCTGAGTGCTTTGCCTGTGTAATCCTGTGCAGCGTTCCACCCAAGCCTTATGCTAGAAAGCGCGGGGAAGTGTTGGCAAATGAGAAACCCTCAGACATGTAAGAATCTGTTGGAAGAGAAGGAACAGAGAAATGTACTCACAAATATGTTTAATGAACAAGCATTCACCAAAGGCCAAAATAACATGGCTCAAAGCGAGGGCTCATAGGTGCTGAGGGAACGGTACCAGCCACGCGGTACAAAGGCAGGAGAATTTCCTGAGGTCGGAGCAATGAGGCTTTGCCACGAGGGCTCTCTGCTTCATCCCAGGGAGTCAACAAACCCAGTTAGTCTCCGTGTCATTTAATTTGAGATACACACAGCTGCTTCCAGGCACCTGTCGGCACAGAGTTAGAGGTGGGATGTGCTAAAGAAATTGTCTTGTGCTCTGTGTTTGGACTTGAGGTCTGTGAATCATCCCTGCTGCTCTCCATTTTCGGGTGTTTATGTGACTGCTCACCGTTCCATTTTATGAAGCACTCGTGTCTTAACACAGCTTTGCTCAGTGGGCTTCTCGGGACATCTTTTTGCCCAGAAACTAGGCAAGTATCAACTTAGTTGGTGCAGTTAATGTCAAAAGCAATCTATCTAAATGCATTTAAAATGAGCTCACTGCACAGAGAGTGTGGTATCTTTAACTAGTTGTCCCGCATGGAGAATGGAGGTCCTTCTCGTATGAGGAGAGCTAATGGATGTGCTTCGTTACCCTGGGGGACTCTGGTCCCCATCACTTGGTAGATGTTAGAGCTAAGAGGAGCCCGAGAAAGCAATGCAGCCCCTGCAGGGGACACTGGGGGACCACTCCGATCTCTCAGGACCCCGCAGCACTCAACTGGAAATTGTCCGAGGTTGGGAGTTGGGGGCATCTATCCATCGTGAAGAGCGTTCAAGCCAGAAGTGATTTGCCATTTGGACTCCTGGCTCCTGGGGATGGGAAAGAAGCCAGCACTTTTAGCAATTCCCTGTATGGAGTCTGCTAGATTGCTGTAGAAATCTTTCTACGTCAGGGGGAAAAGAAATGTTAGTTTATCTAGTATTGCGAGAGACATTTACAAACAACACAGAAATGAGAAGCAGACGTGGGAGCAGGAAAAGAAAGCAGGAGAGCTGTTGCTTGGAGGGGAAATCATGAGAATGTGAGCGACCAGCGTGTGTGAGAATTATTTCTGGAGCACTGATTTATAAGCCACCGTTCTCCCCGCTCGGGGAGCCCCAGGGGCTTGGGAAGGGGATGGGGGAGAGCGGGGGAGGCAGGAGGCCGTTGCGCAAATGCTGATATTATGATGCAGATTGAGGTAATGGTTCTGAGCACTGAAGGCCTTCCCAGCATGAGTCACCATTCATAATTGCTCAGTCATCTCTGTGTCTACACGTACGTTACCTTTCTCCGTCATTTGGGACCACGAGGGCAGAGACTCTGTCATTTTATCTTAAATCCATAAAGTGTACTGGATAACTGTACTTTTGAGGTTGTCGCAGGGGAGATATGTGGGGGACAGGGCTGGCATGGCCGGCCGTGGTTGGGAAGGGATGGGGTTGCAGATGAGGTCCGCCGTCATCCAGTGGCAGGAAGAGACAGAAGGAAGGGTGGTCCGAGCAGTGAGTACAAGGAGAACAGGACTGTGGAGGCAGGAGGGGGACAGCCTGTTTCTGGGACAGTTGGCAGTGCCAGGAGAGGCTTTAGTCTTGAGTCTGAGAGTCGGGAGGTCTTTTCCAGGAGCAGAGCTGTGTTTGGGGAGGTCCTTCTGGCAGTTGTATGGACAGTAGACTGGTGAGCTCTGTCCCTGTCCCAGGAGAGGGACCTGCCGGGTCTGAAAAAGGATTGGGGGAGGGGTTTCTGAGAGGGACTGACCAGTCCTAGGATTCCCCAGTAAGTTGGAGAGAGATAGTGTTCTGGTGTGCTTCCCAGGGCCTGGGATACCGTCCACAGTGGGAGAAAAGGAAGTGGTTTTGGGGAGAGGTTAAAAAGATTGGACTTTGGTTGGGCACCTGCTGTTGTCAGGTGCCAAACGCTCAGGAAGTTCTGGCTGGTTGGCTGATAAGGAGCGTGTGGCATGAGGCAGTAGAAAGGAGTCCAGGAGAGACATGGGTTGGAAGGCAGCCGGCTAGCGGTTTTGATTTCCTGGGCAGCTGAGGATGGTCGTGGGCAGCAGGCGGTGGGGTCGCTGAGCTCCTGACCCTGGAGGTGGACGATGGTGGCAGGAAGCCCGGGCAGGACAGCAGGCTTGCGGATCCAGACAAGCCCAGCTCCGCCCACCACGGGACACCTCCTACCCTGGCTCTCTTCCTTCCCCCTCCCTCTGGAATTCCTTTTCACTTGATCAGATGCAGTGTCTGTTTCTCAGACAAATGAGTAAGATGATGGAAGAGGACTTTTTCTCTTCTCCCTTCTTTCTTTCTTTTTTTTTTTTTTTAACATTTTAATTCATTGGATAAACAATATTGTAACCATATCAAATGCAAACTAAAAGTCTCAAGCTTAATCCTCCATGAACCCAATACCCTAAAGAATCAGTGGTTTTCATTTTCCCTCATTTCTATCCAGGGTTTGCATTTCTGTGCTCACAGAATTCATACGATTTTGATCAGAGGATGGTTACAACTTTGCCCAGATTTTCTCACTTAATATTGGATCATTAGCCATGTCTCATTGCTGTCTTCATAATTGTTGTTGGATGCTGCGGAATGTTCCAGTGAGTGGATGCATCCGTTTTCTCAGCTACCTTTCTGCCCTGGAGCCTTTGGATAGCTCCCCACTTGCAGTGACTTGTGTGAGAGGATGAAACCTGCTCCAGCAAGTGTCATCGTGCACGTAATTTACCTCTGATGTACCGCTCTGATCCTCTGATGTATTGCTCGAAACTGAATTACTAGGAAAGGGGGCTCTTTCTTCTGTCTCCTTCAGGAGAGGAGGGAAGCAACAGAGCCAGGAATTCAGTAGATCCCAGGATGTGATTTATTCCCACCTCCGATATGAGGAGACAAGAGTCTTGAGGACACTGGGGATCTTACAAAACCCACTAGTCTCGAGGGCAGTGTTTCTCAGCCATGCTTCCTTACTGGCCCTTTCTAGACACTTTTCTTAATTACCCACTACATTAAAAACGAAGGAATAAAATTTGGTTGGGTAGGGTTGCACTTTGGAGGGCCACAATGCATGTAATATTTAAGATTTTGAGCCCCTGGAAAACCAGTTTTCACCTCCTTTGGGTGATGTCATCCTTGTTGAGGATGAGTGCTTCCTCAGCAAGGCAGTGAAGAAAATTCTGTCCCTTTCTCTTAGTTCAGACATCAAGACTCAAACATTTACCATTAAGACTCAAACTCCAAAAAATCCTCTGACTCTTTTTGGGAATAAGCAAGGTGGCTCACCAGCCGGGTTTTTGAGGGTGCCTATGGCCCCTGGAGAAATCCTTCCCAGCATTGCAGAGGGCCACGGTGTGGAGGGAACTGTCAAGAAAGAGGAGTCTTCAAATGCCCGTGTTCTCATTCCTGTGCGTGGAAAAGATACTTGTGATACCACAACACCAAGAAGGAAAATGTGACTGGTATAAAAATACTGCAGTGGTGGGTAGAGAATAAAGAGGTGACTCCGATGAGTTATGGCTAAGAATCACCCCATCCTGAGAGGCTGTATCCCTGGCTAAGTGTGCATCCAAGGGAAGATGCTGTTAGTCTTTTTCCAATGTCAAGGTCATGATCCCAGCACAGGGGGCACATTCCTCTGGCAGCTCATCAAAGGGGGAAGGAGGGTAGGCGTTAAATGACAACCGGACTCTGTACTGAATACTTGTGTTGATCACCTAGCTCAGGAGGAGCAGAGTGGCTCTGTGTCTGCAGAACTGGTCCTTGATCTGAACGCAGGACAGTGGGTCACCTGCTGATCAGGATTTGCTGAGGTCCACGCTGCTAGTGGAGCGTGTGTGATCAGCAGGGACTGGTATGAGAGGCCCAAATCAGATGGTGCTTGTGCTATGGCCGTCTACTGGAACAATCCCATGTACAACAGACAAAAGGGGTGGCATTGCTTGTTTCGATTGCTCTTCTGCACCTTCATGGAGAGATAAGAACTCAAGAGTCCGAAGCCCTGGCTCCACCTGGTACCAGCTGGGTGACCCTGGGCAAATCCCTCAATGTCTTTCTGAACCTCAGTCTCCATAGCTGTAGAATGGGGACAGGCCTCATTGCTTGTCTATTTCACTGGTGGTCCTCACGATGAGATTCAGTAGAGAAATAGAACTTACTATGACCGCGATGGTGAACGTTGCTAGTGACATTATCACCATGTCTCTTGTTAAAACTTGGCCTACTCCTATGTGGCTCCACTTCAGCCCCTCGGTATGTATCCCACATGGTGAGAGGTGGGAAGCTACATTAACCTTGCTGGCGTGTGGTTTCTCCAGTGATGGTGGGTTTCTGCCTCTTCCCTCTTTGAACAAGAGTCCTTTATAGTCAGCTTTCTCTTTCTCTCACCTAGATATTATAACACAAAGTGAGTTATCATAAAGCAAAGCATGTTTCCCCCTCCCAGGAGTGGTGAGAGAATAGACCCTGAATGCCTGACCAGGGCTGTGGCTGTAACACCTCGTAGGTGTGTCGTAAAAGCAAAGCACCAGCAGCAAAAGCTCTATTCCTTTAGAGATGCGCACCGAGGCCCGGGGATCGCCCTCCACCCAGCAGTGCAGAATGCTCTGTTACGAAAGGCAAACCAAGTGCAATGTCACTCCACTCCATCAGAAATTCTACGATACCGATTTACCAGTTCCATAGTTTTTTTTTTTTGTTTTTTTTTGCAGTACGCAGGCCTCTCACTGCTGTGGCCTTTCCCGTTGTGGAGCGCAGGCTCCGGACGCGCAGGCTCCGTGGGCGCCCGCCCACCCCCCTGGCTGGAATGTCCTCCCTCGCTGCTTCCACAGCACCCAAGCTTCCCTCCTGGTCTCTAACACCCTGTCAGAAGTTATCTCATGAACACACCTGACTCTGCCATGGGGAAGCGTGGCTAGTCTGGTGCCTGGCAGAGACATCCTTTGAATCACAGCTTCTTTCACTTGGGGATGGCTAAACAGTTTCCCCCAGAAAGTCAAAGCCACTTACCCAGCTCACTCACAGGTACCCGTTCAGAGATGGGAGGCACAGTAGCCTCTGGCGGGGGTGTCTCTGTCCTTTGCCCCAGGGCTCCTGTGATAAGCAGATCCTCTTCCCTTCCTTTAGCAGCTGTCTGACAAGCTCGACTGTCCAAGCAAAATTCAGGAAACCACCCGTATATATTTCACTTTCTCGTAGAAGCCTGCATCCCTCACCCTTTCACCACCCGGCTCCCGTCACCCTGGCCTCCACGCACCCCCTACTTGGCACCAATGAAGTGGTGATGGCACTCCATCTGTTACCTCACTTTGAGTTCCAGGAGGGTGAAGCCGGGTGTGTTCCTTCAGCCTGACATCATAGATTGCTCATTACAGTGTAAGAGAAAAATGATGTTCAGTAATAAATATTTATTTAGGCAAGGGTATAGAGAGAAAAGGCTCAGTCTGTCTAATGAGGGCACAATAAGAAAACAGGAAACCAAAGTGAAAAGGTAATACCTCGTCACCCAGGGAGGTGACACTCCAGCTCAGGGAGGTGAGAAACACAGGCACGAGGTGCTGGAAGACCGGGCAGAGGGGCCGCGAGGAGAACATTCCAGGCAGGGGGATAGCACTGGTGTGCAGGAGGGTGGGCGTGTGCAGGGGGCCGTGGGAGAGGGCTGTCTTCTAGAGAGGTCTGCCCTCCGTGCAGAGTGGCCATCCTTGTGTAGGGCCGTAAACCCATCTTGTTTCTCAGTTGATGAAGGTCGTGAATGAAATGTGCTCCAACATCACCAGGATTTACAACATTGGCAAGAGCCACCAGGGCCTGAAGCTGTACGCCGTGGAGATCTCCGACCACCCTGGGGAGCATGAAGTTGGTGAGGCTGCCCCTCTGTAGTGCTCCTGGCCCTTCGAGTCCGCTGCTTTCTTAAAGAGCGAGGCGATGGTCACCCTGTGAGAACATTCACGAAACAGGGCGGGAGCTGCCCATGCACTCACTCTCACATAGATTCTGCAGATCTTGGTTCTGTGAACCCCTCGTTTTATGATGTGGGCTGTCAAATTGCTTAAGAAATACCCTCCTTTTCTCCAAATGGACCGTATTTAATTCTGTTCCCCATCTCTGAGACCGGTCACGTTAACCAAAGAGGAAAACAGCTGGAGATGGTTAGGACAGAGTTCTTTTCCTGGAGAAAATTCTGGACTCCCTGGTCATTAAGGGCTCTAGTTAGAGGTGGTTCCCTTAATTTTCTTTTAAATTTCCATCCTATTTTCAAGCATTTCCTGTTTTCAGCCATTTCTCATTCAATCACTCCCAAAACTATGTTTTCCTACAAGTCAGTGGGCAGAGGAGAGGCAGTGGGGTCAGAGATTTTTCTTTTTGGTACAATTGTGAGCCCTTTAGAAATCCACTGCAAGTTAAATGCAGAGATTTGTCTGATTCTCTGGACTTCAATGTTCATCGGTACTCCAGGAGTTTCTCTCAGGAGTGCCTTTCAAAGGGTAAGGGCTTTATCTGTGGGTGAAATCACATTTCCGCAAAAGCAGTAGCTTGGCCAGCAAAAGAGGCAGGAGTGCTGTCAGCTCGCGCCCGCACTGACAAACCCGACGGTGAAAAAGCTGAGCTTTGAAGAGAACAAGCTGAAAGACAGGCCCCCTTTACAAAACGGTGTCACTGCTGACTTGCCCTGACACTACTTTCTGCTTGCATTTATTCATCTCTGTGTCTTTATAAAATTGAATACAAAGTTCTTTTAAGAAAAATAATTGCCTCCCCGAAGAGAAAAATAATTGCTCTGGTTCGTGTCTAATTTGTAACTTTTAAACTCGAAACACTGTGTTATTGTATTTGTTCTTGCCAAATAAGGCTAAACATTCCTACCCCGTGGCTGGTATCATTTGAGACTTTTCTACTCATTTTCTTATATATCTGACTATCTGGGAATTAATAAAAATTGTACTGGTATAATTGTGGTTGATTTGAAAGAACAGAGAGGGCTAAAATTGTAAGTTTCTATCGTTCAGAGATTTCTTTCCTAATACAATGTGATGAGGACTGGTTTGTTGGAAGCATCCGATATGATCCTCTATTTTTTCCCATCTTTGAGTAAAGGTGAGCCCGAGTTCCACTACATCGCGGGAGCCCATGGCAACGAGGTGCTGGGCCGGGAGCTGATGCTTCTGCTGATGCAGTTTCTGTGCCAGGAGTACTTGGCCCGGAACTCGCGCATCGTCCGCCTGGTGGAGGAGACCCGGATCCACATCATCCCCTCCCTCAACCCCGACGGCTATGAGAAGGCCTACGAGGGGGTAATGGACCGTCCCTCTCGCCCAGCACAGCAGCTAGCCAGCCCCCTCCCCCCCGCACAATGTGCTGAGCCATGAGTTGATCTGAACTCCACATCACCAGCTTTCTTGTTAAGTGTCTTTCTGCTGAGACAAGGAAACCCGCAAGGCTTATGAAAGATGCACAGCAGTCATTGAGAACTATGGGGAGACGCTAACAGACTGAAGAAAATGAACATGAATAATAATATTGTTATATATACAGTGGGAACAATAGGATAGAATAATAATAACACCTAGCATTGATTGAGCACTTAAGGCACGTTCTAACCTTGATTATTACCTACAATCCTCTCATCAGTTCTCTGAGGACAGTTATTTTTATTATTCTGATATACTGTTTATATGTCATGTTCCAATTATGATATAGAATTTACGTAGGTTAGAGTTATATAGAGAGTTATGTATAGATTACAGTTAGTATAATGTTGTATTGTGTATTCATAATTATATTCACAGTATCTGGGAATAAAATGGAAAACTATACTTAAAACAATGGTACCTAACAAGTGCAAGTTTTACAGTGCAGAGTTTGGGTTGTATTTATTGGTGCAAATGGTTGGGTAGGGATTTGCAGTGCGAAATAGTGAGCCAGAATTGCAGGGAGAAAGCATTAATACGGTGGCGTTTGATTTTTGCACTGACACAGTCTTAGACTCATTACTACTTGGAGTTTCATTCAACCTGTGTTGGAGAGGTGAAGGAAGAGGAGGCAGGGGAGACCCCTTACTTTTCTGAGCGCTGCCATATGGCAGGAATGATTCTGTGCATTCCCTCTCTGGAGTTGCTTGGCTATATTATCCATCACCCACCAAATATTAACAGATTATTAACCAGATAGTCTCCTTTGGATGTCATCTTTGGGTCAGAGGGTGCATGGAGGCTTAGAGACACACCCCAAATGGAGATGGAGATGGAGACGGAGGTGCCTCATGTATGTGAGAGACAGAATGGCCCAGAAGCCTGTGGGTTCCTCATATTCTGAATTTTCTCCCAGGGCTCGGAGCTGGGAGGCTGGTCCCTGGGACGCTGGACCCATGACGGAATTGACATCAACAACAACTTTCCTGACTTAAACACACTGCTCTGGGGGGCAGAGGACCGACAGAACATCCCACGGAAAGTTCCCAATCACTATATTGCAATCCCTGAGTGGTTTCTGTCTGAAAATGCCACGGTGAGTAAAAAGACCCCGTAATCTCTAGAGCAGCGGAGGCCAAAGTTAAACCCACCGGTATTTGCATAGGATATAACATTTAAGAACAAGACAAAATCATTTTTTCCTTTCATGTTTTCTCCAAAAGTAGGGAAGTGTGCTAGATAGTAGCTACCTTTTAAATTGAAATTTGAGGAGATTCTTCCTAGAAGAGAAATCATTTAATTAGATTTCTTTGCGGTGCTTCCCGAAAAAACTTTGCCTGAAGTGTGCGTGTTTGTTACGGTCATTATAACCTTCATCTTTGGCAGTGCAATGAAACTGCAGTGAAATTTGTCCTTAAGACCTCACTGATTACTTGAGATATCTTACTTTTATTTTCACAAGTCCCCATGGATTTATTACATGTGGTGCTGCTTCGGAAAGAAAAATGCAATTGGATGAGAAATGTCTCCCCCAAATTCCTTAGGTCTAGTTTTGCAAAAAAGTATCTCGTGGAAGAAATAATTTTCGCAGAATTTCCCATGCCTTTTATTGCCTCCTCTGCCCACTGTAAACGCTCCTTACCCTTAGTCTTTTGTCCTATATGTCCTTCAAAAGGTCTGCCTTGATTACTATATGAGTGTTAGGTTTGGGTACACCAACAGAAAAAAACCAAAATAACAGCAGCTTAACGAGGTAAAAGGTTTTTTTTTTTTTCTTTTTTCACATAAGAGAACCCTGGAGGCAGATGGTTCAGGGCCAGCCAAATAGAAGCCCATGATCATCAGGAACCCAAAAGTCATCTTTCTGCCTCCAGATGTTGGCAAGTGGACTTTGATTTTCAAGGTCATAATTCAAGATGGCAGTTCCATCTTGTTGCTCCAGCTATCATGTCTTTGAAGGAAAAGGAGAGAAAAGGTTAAAAAAAAAAGTCTTCCTCTCAGATAAGTCAATTAACTTTCTAGGCATTCCTAGAATTCCTGCATAATACTTTTGTTTAAATCTTGCCAGAATTTAGTCAAAACTCGGTATCAACCCACCAAAGGGAAGGCTGGGAAATGCTATATTTTAGGCAAGCACATTGCAAGATCAAAAAAAGCTCCAGCTCACAGCACATGTGGGTACCACTTACTGTAGGTGGGCCAGCGTGGTTGCCTCATTTAGTGATGCACAGGATCGTGTTCTCCAGGACCTCAAGAAGCAAGCAGTCAAATGATGGAGACAGACAGTGGCAATACCATGCGGTTTAGTTAGGATGCCCAAGGGTGCCTTATGGGGATGGAGAAGTAAAGAATTCAGGCCCTCTGGGTCTTCTGAATCCTTTCTCACATTTCCTTATTCCACCCTACATAATCCCTGTTTTTTTCCAAGCTAACATACTAGTGACATCTGGCGAAGCTGAGGATTCAAGTGATGTTATAATTTGGGAACCCTTGGACCAAAATTGGAATATGGTTGCCAGCTTTCTTAGCCTTGAGTCTCTGAGAGATAAGTAATTATTTTAGCACAATTAGAGAAAGTCCTTGGATTTCAGTCTTTGCTTTAAGTCCAGAATTTAGTTTTTTGAGCTTGTTCTTTAAAAACACAGGGAGAATTACACAAACCTGCCATCACCAATACCTTTCTCAGTTATGGACGGGTTAGACAGATAAATCAGCAAAGACAGAGATTTGAATAACAATTAACAGCCTTGACATAGGGATCTGTAAGAGTTCTACAACCAACAAGCAGAGGGTACATATTCTTCTGAGTAATCCTTGGAGAATTTTCAAAAATTGATGGTGTTCTTGTCTGTAAAGGAAATCTCAACAAATTTCAGAAAATAGGAGTCAGGCAGACCATGAGTCTCTCACCACCATACAATTAAACTAGCAGACAGTAATAAGGTTAATGAAAACATCACCATGTATTTAGAAAATGTTAAAAAAAAATTAAAGGGTCAAAGAAAAAGTTCATACTGGCAACTAAAAAATAAATCAAAGATAATGAGAACACTAAATGTCAAAATTTGTGGAGTATAGCAAAAAAATAGTGCTTTCAGGAATTTATACCTTTGAGTGATTATATTCCAAAATAAGAAAAGCTGAACATCAACTAACTTAAGAAGCTAGCAAAAGAATAACAGAAGAAACCCCCCAAATGTAGAAAGACTGTGATTAAAAAGAGCAAAAATCAGTGAAATGATAGAAAAAAAACAAAAGAAATAATTTGTCTGCAGAAAGAAGTATCTGGTAAAATTTAACAATCATTTACAGTGATTTTTCATGGTGAGGAAAATGATTTTAAATGGTATTAATTATAAAAGATTTTAAAATGAATTTTTATTGGAGCATAGTTGCTTTACAGTGTTGTGTTAGTTTCTGCTGTATAGCAAAGTAAATCAGCTATACATATACATACATCCCCTCTTTTTTGGATTTCCATTGAAATCCAAAACAACATTGAAAGCGTTCCCTGTGCTATACAGTATGTTCTCATTAGTCATCTATTTTATACATAGTATCAATAGTGTATATATGTCAATCCCAATCTCCCAATTCATCCCACCCCCCCTCCAGTTCTTATAACTATGCTATAATGCCTCATTAATTTATGGAAACATAGTGGATATAAAGATTCTTATGGAGGTGATTATTCCCTTTCCTGAACCACCATGCCATTTTAGCCATGTCTTCTTTATGAGTTTTTGGCACTTTTAAACTTGTAAAAGAGATATTTATGATTAGTTTTATCTCCCTTGCTAAATGGTAGGCTGCTTGAGGGCACATTATATATTTTTGAAACATTTTTTCTATCCCTAACTGCATCTAATGTACTTACCATGGAATTCAGTAGATATCTAATTTTTTTTAAAGTCTTATAGCATAAAAAAAAATGAACTCAATATCTTTGTAACAATCAAAGTAAGATACATATTTGGTAGAATGTCTTTAGTTCACCTGAGTTCAGTCAGGTACTAGATAGACTGGATACTAATTGAGATTAATCACAAGCAATATATATCCCAACACTAAAAAACAGTAAATATTTGATGAGTGAGTTGACAAATATTTTTTCCCTTACACATATCCCTTTGATATTTGTTCATGTGTATCTGTCTATCCATCTATCATTATTATTTAAAAAAATTTTTTTTATTGTGGTAAAAGTCATATAATATAAAACATCCTTTTTTTTTTTTGCGGTACGCGGCCCTCTCACTGTCGTGGCCTCTCCCGTTGCGGAGCACAGGCTCCAGACGCGCAGGCTCAGCGGCCATGGCTCACGGGCCCAGCCGCTCCGCGGCATGTGAGATCATCCCGGACCGGGGCACGAACCCGTGTCCCCTGCATCGGCAGGTGGACTCTCAACCACTGCGCCACCAGGGAAGCCCTAGTCTCTCTTTTAAAGCCATAAATCATTACCATTATCATATCAAAATAAATCATTTCATAATATTATAAAATATCCAGTCAGTGTTCACATTTCTCCTATAATCATTCTCCGTCTCTCTCTCTCTCTCTCTCTCTCTCTCAGTTTGTTTTAATTGGGATCCAACTAGAGCCCATTCGTTTTGATTGGTTTACTAAGCCTTTCAAGTCTCCTTTAAACTGTACGTTTCTCCTGTATCACTTTCTCCATTTTTTCTTGCAATTTTATTGTTGTTTATCTTGTAACAACTAGGTTATAAACAACTAGATTGTCTTCTAACATTTCCCACTGTCTATGTGCTACTGACTGTATTCTTGTGATGTTATGTAACATATTCCTCTATGTTTCTTGTAAATCGGCAGTGAGATTCAGACCACTAGGCTAGGTAGAACAAGAAGGGGTTGGTAAACTACAGCCCGTGGGCCGTGTCCCACTCAGGCCTGTTTTTGTAAATGGTGTTTTACTGGAACACAGCCATGTTCATTCATCCGCGTATTGTCCGAGGTGCTGCCCTGCTACAATGGCAGAGTTGAGTAGTTGCCACAGGGACTGCATGGCCCTCAAGGCTGAAAATATTTCCTATCTGGCCCTTAATAGAAAAAGTCTGCTGACCCCTGCACTAGAGGCTTGGTCACGTACAGGGTTGATGGTTTTTTTAGGTGTGTGTTCTGTCATCAGGAGACACGTTACGTTTGGTTCTCTGTCTTTGTAACTATTGGTGAGCATTAAGCCATTGACTGAGCCATTAATTCAGTGGAGTTGCAGAATGTTGATACTCTAATTCTGTCATTCCCTCTTTGTGCATTAACTGGAATGTTCCTAGGAAACGAAACTTCTCTGGGTTTCTCTCTTTTTTATCCATTATTTCCACAGTGGCCAGTTTTCCCAGGACAGATTTTGAAACTCTAAATTTTGCTCAGGTGATTCCATAAAATGATTGCTTTTTCAACTGTGTCCCTGTTTGGAAAGCTCGGGAGAGAAAGCACTTTCCCTCTTATTTTATTTCTCAAATGTGTTTAAACTTGGAACGTTCACAGGTGGCAGTGGAGACCAGAGCCGTCATAGCCTGGATGGAAAAGATCCCCTTCGTGCTAGGTGGCAACCTACAGGGTGGGGAGCTGGTGGTGGCCTACCCTTATGACATGGCGAAGTCCACGTGGCAGATGCAGGAGCACACTCCCACGCCTGACGACCACGTGTTCCGCTGGCTGGCCTACGCCTACGCCTCCACTCACCGCCTCATGACGGATGCCAGGAGGAGGGTGTGCCACACGGAAGACTTCCAGAAAGAGGATGGGACTGTCAATGGGGCTTCCTGGCACACTGTGGCTGGAAGTAAGTATGACGGTCCTGCTGTCATCATGCGGCCCGGTGACAATGGACTGGCTGCTGGACCGGGAGGGAGGACCATCTCCTGCCCAGCCTTCTTTTATCATTGTTACCAGCATGATAGCTACTGTAGTTCACCATTTATAAGGTGCCAGAGCTCTCTGTAGACTCCTCTTTCATGCTCACAATAGTCTTTGAGGGGGTGTGGCTTACTCCCTGTTTTATAAATGAAATAACTGGGGCTTGGAGACGGGGAGGGATCCGTCCAAGCTCCCAAGGAGCAGAGCTGGGGTCTCTTTGACTCCGTGGTCTGCTCATAGCCACTGAGCTAGTTGGCTGTTACAGGGTCAGAGATGGTAAACGTTCTGTCAGCCCTTGGAGGAGGCGGGGCGTTGATCCCACGCTCGAGACTTTTTCCACATCTCCTGTTTCCTGGAGGTCTTCCAGCCACATCAGGGCATCTGGCCAAAGTCCCATTATTGTGATTCGGGGAATACGAGGTACTGCTCCCAGCATCCGCTTAGGACACAGAGGCTTCCAGCAGAGACTTTAGGAGTTCCTTTGCAGCAGCCAGATGACCCCGTGGTCCAAGTCTCAGGATAAGCCCTTTGTTTCCTGTGTCAGGGCTGCTCCTGGCCTAGGGCTCCAGAATGAGGATGGCTGAGGATGCCACATTCCCTGAGGTCCCTCTGCGTTGGGATGGTAAGACCCCAAACATAACGTTCATTGCTTCTTGTCTTGACTTTGTGAAGGTTGGTCAAACCGCTGATGAATTTGAAAAATATCCCGTGTCAGATAGATCTGGGATCAAATTCTAGTTCATCACTTAAATGCTGTGTGACTCTGGGCAAGTTACTTTACCTCTCTCTGAACGCCCATATTTTCCATTAGTAAAATGGGCTTGAGGATGGTGATGACGACGATGATGAGGATTACGATGACGATGATCCCTCTGGGACTGTTGTGAGGATGACGTAGATGGTGGATGTGTGTGTTCTATGTCTTGCTTGTCCGAAACACTCAGTTGTAAGTTCCCACCCCCTACCCTCCCCCCTCTTCCAGTAACATACTCACCATGAAACATCTTTTATGAGCATATCCTTAATCTCTATTTTACTGTACTAATTAACTTTAATATTATTTTCCTTTGCTAGAGATTCAGCCTTCACATACCTTAGAGGTATGTGACACTCTGGGGAAAAAAAATTAAAAAGGAGTAGACATATTTGTTCCCATGGCCATTTTTTTTTTTTTTTTTTTTGTTTTTTGGCTAGACCTGTTTGTCAGCATCTTGAAGTGGACTGAGCTGAGTCATGCACCGAGGCCGAAAACCACAGGATATTTTTGAAAGAGTAGAGAAATGAGAGGTAATACTACCATATATGAAGTGTATTATGCCAATATAATCATTCAAAATGTATATTAAAATGTAAAAATAAAGGTGACATCCTACCTCACCTTCTACACTAAAATATATTACCTAAATGTAAACGAAAAAAAAGAAAAAATACAGAGAGAAAAGCCCAAATATTCATAGCAATTACTACTAATGTGCACTGAAGATAGAGTAAAAATACATTTCCATACCTTTTAGTGAAGCACAGTGAATATAAGTTAGATTTATTGGGTAGAGCTCCTAGTTGTTTTTTAAGCAGATATTTAATGAAGACCATGGGAATTTATCTGGATTTTTAAAGTTTGCTGTGTAAATTCAATAAACCATAAAAAGATTTCTTTAGACACAAAGCAAGGATTTTGTGTCTTTTCAAAGCCTAAGAATCTTTAAAGATAGTCTGCAAAAACAAGAAGGAAGTAAAAATGACTATAATAAAGGGATAAAAGGAAATAGAGATGACCCTAAGGATTGTTTCTCATCCTCTCCCAGAGCTCAAGATGATTACTGACCAACCAGAGCGGCTTTTTCCAAATCGTGTTCTGAGAAAACCATAGTGTCTCTTGTTTGGGACAGTGAGAGTAAGTGTGGGAAATGCTGCTTGATTTATCAGTTAGAAGAGTTTCAAAATCTCCAATTGTAATAATGGAGATGTCTATTTCTATTTTCAGTTCTACCCATTTTATGTTTGTGTATTTTGATGCTCTCTTTTTAGGTATATACACATTTAAGTTTGTTATGTCTTCTTAGAGAATTAAACTCTCTATTTACTATCTTTCTTTATTTCTTATGTGTTTCCTTGTAAGGAAGTCTGTTTTGTGTGAAATTTATATACCTACTCCAGCTTTCCATTGATTAAAGTTTGCATAATGTATCTTTTTCTACCCTTTTTACGTGGGCCTCTCACTGCCGTGGCCTCTCCCGTTGTGGAGCACAGGCTCCGGACGCGCAGGCCCAGCGGCCACGGCTCACGGGCCCAGTCGCTCCACAGCACGCGGGATCCCCCCGGACCGGGGCACGAACCCGCGTCCCCCGCATCAGCAAGCGGACTCCCAACCACTGCGCCACCAGGGAAGCCCCCCATGGCCATTTTTAAACACATGCAGAAAGCTTGCCATTTCTTTCTTAGTTAGACACCAAGCAGAGGTGTTTTATTTCTCTCCACCAGGGTTTTGCTCTGTTCAAAGTAAAAAAAAATAAATGCAAATCCCTATCAAGAAAATGTCCTATAGCCAAAAGCATGCTTGCTCTTTCAATTCTAGTCCTAAAAACCTACAATAATCTTTATGTTAAGTATTTGTTTAGGTTTTACGGCTGCTGTGACTAAATTGGGTTCGGACACTGCGGGATTTGTCAGCAGTGGGTCAATAGCAACGTTTTGAAAAGTCGGCTGCCACTTAATGACATCAGCAGCATTTGATTTGTTTCTATCAATTGTATTTTCCATTATTTCGGGGACTTCTGTGGCAGAGCCCTGTGGTGGCTTAAGCCTTTTTAATCATTCTTCCTGCAGGCGGTGTGACGAAGTCTGCAGGTTCATTTCTTTGTAGATTAATGAGATGGGATTTCTAATTTCCTTCCCTCCTCTCCCCACCTCCACTCCTTCTCTCTGTCTGGGTCTAGCGCACTCGTTAGCGGTGCACCGACAGGCCTCAGTTAGTGGGGAGTGGGTAGCTGGGAGCAGGGTCCAGTCTAGCTCAAAAGGCACATCGTTTGCAGTGTGTGTGTTTCAACTCCAAAGGGATGTGAGACCTTCTTTGTGTCGGCTGCTGTCTGGCATCCTCTCCCGCACAAGGAAGGCAGATGTTGTGACAGCATCGGGCCCACAGAGCTTTAAGGGTTGCGTGGCCCTGTGTTCCACACTGAAGCCGTGACAAGAGCAGGATTCCAGGCCCACAGAGAACACAAAGGAAGAAGCCTCAGCCAGGAAGAGCTATCTGGATCACCCTGCACTGCCTGCCCACACGTTTCACTTTTGAAGCCATTTCTTATGGAGGATTCTCAGCTGCATGACATTTGCTGAAGGCCTGGAATTCAGCGGTAATGATAGCCTGGCGCAGGTTTTCCTCCGGTCTCCTGGTGTCTCATTTTGCCAATTCTTCTAGCGCTTCTAGCACTGATTGCAACATGGCAGACCCACTCCAGAGTTTTAAATATCACATTTATTTATTTCAGTACTAACAAGGCCTGGAGGTTGGGATAATGAGAATTGTGTGTGTGTGCGGAGGGGTCCAGCCCTCCCGGGAGGGCCTGTCCATGCTGATCCATGGGTGCTGCCTGAGGTTCCATGCCTCGGGTTCCACTGAATGAGCTGAACTCGCTTTTTTTTTTTTTTTTTTTTTTTCACTGTTGTGGCGTCTCCCATTGCAGAGCACAGGCTCCGGACGCGCAGGCTCAGCGGCCATGGCTCACGGGCCCAGCCGCTCCGCGGCATGTGAGATCATCCCGGACCGGGGCACGAACCCGTGTCCCCTGCATCGGCAGGTGGACTCTCAACCACTGCGCCACCAGGGAAGCCCCCACTTTTTTTTTCTTTAAGATTTTTTTTTGATGTGGACCATTTCTGAAGTCCTCATTGAATTTGTTACAACATTGTTTCTGTTTCATGTTTTGGTTTTCTGGCCGCGAGGCATGTGGGATCCTAGCTCTCCGACCAGGGATCGAACCCGCGCCCCCTGCACCGGCAGGCGGACTCTCAACCACTGCGCCACCGGGGAAGCCCCCACTTTTTTTTTTCTTTAAGATTTTTTTTTGATGTGGACCATTTCTGAAGTCTTCATTGAATTTGTTACAACATTGTTTCTGTTTCATGTTTTGGTTTTCTGGCCGCGAGGCATGTGGGATCCTAGCTCTCCGACCAGGGATCGAACCCGCGCCCCCTGCACCGGCAGGCGGACTCTCAACCACTGCGCCACCGGGGAAGCCCTGACCTGGCATTTTTGACCAACCTTCTTCAGCCAGACAAGGCCCTGTGAGGGATTTTTCCATTAACTTGACACCGTCCCACTCCTTTTATCTCACTGCTGTCACTGTCCTTATTTGATCACAGATGTGATCAAAGGCCCATGGCTGGTGACCTGTGAATGGTTCGAATCTGGAATCTGGTAGAGAGAATGGCTGTGTATTTTGTACCCTTTTGTCTGTGACTTTATCAGTTAGGCAGCAGATCAATACAGAATTGATCTTGACACCCAAAGCTGTGATTTTTAAACAGACATTTATACTGAGAGATGTATCACTGAACGCTCTGAGGAAGGAGGGAAGAGAGGACGGGTGAGTACCGAGGCTGAAGTGCAGGAGGACCTGCTTTTTGTCTCTGGTCAACAGAGAGACCAGCCCAGCCAACCTCCTCTCTCTGTGGCCTTGACCCTCAGAAGCCAGGGCGGGCTTGTTGGTGGCGCCTTCTGCTGGGGGAGTCCTCTTGGCCCTCACACATAACATAGCAGCACTGTGTTCTTGCTATTTCAAATGGTTTCCAAAAATAAAATGTTGGGAAGAGAGCCACTGGACTTTATGCCGTCTGACATTCATTTATGCATTTTGGGTACTGTCGTGGGGTGAATGGGACCCCCAAGATACACGTCTACTTCCTAATCTTTGGAAGCTGTGAGTGTGACCTTATTTGGAAAACGGGTCTTTGTAGGTGTCATTAAGATAAGGGTTTCAAGATGAGGTCATCTTGAGTTACCCAGATGGGCCCTAAAATCAGTGACAAATGTCCTTATGAGGGACAGAAGAGGAGAAGACACACACTGAGGAGACGGCCCTGTAAAGACAGAGGCAGAGATGGGAGTGATGCAGCCACAAGCCAAGGAGTGCCAGGGGCCACCAGGAACTGAAAGAAACAAGGAAGAGCCTTTGGAGGGGGTGTGGCCTTGCCAACACCTTGATTTTGGACTCCTGGCCTCTAGAACTATGAGAGGATAATTTTCTGTTGTTTTAGACCACCCAGTTGGTGGTCCTTTGTAACAGCAGCCCTAAGAAATTAATACAGGGACCAAGTCCTGTTGTAGCCGTGTCAGGATGCACGAGACTGTCTGCTTTCCAGCTGGGTGGTGAGGACATTTGCCCTTCAGTCCCCCAGCAGTGACAAGCAAGGGCTGGGCAGACATTACACACACCTGGGTTCAAACCCTCACTGTCCAGACGCACGATTCTGGATACATTCCGTAATGCAGTCCTTAACCATTCTCCGCCTCAATTCTCTTATTTGTAAAACTGGGCTATGCTACCTACCTCTCTGCTGGATTTGTGATGGAGACTAAATGAGCTTGGATGCAGAGCGCTAAGGACGGCTTCTGGCTTATGTAAAACACTCGGTAAATGGTGGGATGGATAGTTATGTTTATGAATTAGAATAGACAGCTGCAGTTTTCATTCTACAGTTATAGAGCTGTAGCTGAGAGCGGCATAACTATTGAGCTAAATTTAATTAAGCACTAAAAATCCATACTATTAATTAATGATACCTTTCAAAAAATATAAAACAACAAAAAGAAAACAAAAGAGAGGGACTTCCCTGGTGGCACAGTGGTTAAGAATCCACCTGCCAATGCAGGGGACATGGGTTTGAGCCCTGGTCCGGGAAGATCCCACGTGCCGCAGAGCAACTAAGCCCGCGAGCACAACTACTGAAGCCTGCGTGCCGCAACTACTGAAGCCCTCACACCTGGAGCCCGTGCTCCGCAACAAGAGAAGCCACTGCGATGAGAAGCCTGCGCACCGCAACGAAGAATAGCCCCCACTCACTGCAACTAGAGAAAGCCCGCACACAGCAACAAGGACCCAACACTGCCAGTAAATAAATAAATAAATTTTAAAAAAAAGAAAAAAACTTTTTAAAGAAAAAAGAATTTTTATCCTAAAAATAGTATTAAACTGAGTTTAATAAAATGAAAATAATTTTATCTAAAAAGCATTTCAGTCCTCCTTTTGTCAAAGATGTCCTACATATGCCTGTCTTCCCCATGGACTGTTCCGGCTGCATCTTCTATCTCAACCCCCCATTCTGTCCCCCATCAGTTGCTCTAATTAATTTTTTGTGTAGAGTAGATACTTGATACCTCCTTGTTCAAATGAAGTCCTCTGAATCACATTCTTGAACATTCTCGCTGTCTCCCAGGGCCACTTTGAGCACTGTTCAGTTAAAACGTTGTCTGGTTGGCTTGGCAGGTCTCAACGATTTCAGCTACCTTCACACAAACTGCTTCGAGCTGTCCATCTATGTGGGCTGTGATAAATATCCGCATGAGAGCGAGCTGCCTGAGGAGTGGGAGAATAATCGGGAATCCTTAATTGTGTTCATGGAGCAGGTATGACATGGGCACACGACTGTGATGGGATGTAGCTAGGGGATGAAGCCCCTGAGATGGTCAAAAGCCTGAGATCAAATTAGCGCTTCCTACGGTGGCCATCACCCTGGGCTAGCGACTACAGTGTCAGAAGGAACTGTTGTCTGTGAGCTCTAAGTCAATGTCATTTGCTCCCACTGGTTCATGGTAAGTGAGACTTCTTCCAGGGTTCTAGGATGCTGCTCCGTGGGGAAGGGGTGGTTGTCCAGCCAGCATACTCAGGCCCCTTGTATTAGTCTGCTAGGGCTGCGTAACAAAATATGCAGGCTGGGGAACTTAAGCAACAGAAATTATGGTTCTCGAGGCTAGAAGTGCAAAATTAAAGTGTCAGCAGGTTGGTTTCATCCTGCAGCCTCTCTCCTTGGCTTGCAGACAGCCACCTCCTCACTGTGTCTGCACATGGTTTTACTTAGTGTGCATACACTCCTGGTGTCCCTGCGTGTCCAAATGACCTCTTCTTACAAGGACACCAGTCAGATTATAAGGTCCACTCTTAGGGCTTCATCAGCTCTTTAAAGATGCTATCTCCAAATACAGTCACATTCTAATATACTGGGGGTAAGGACTTCAACATATGGATTTGTGGGGGACACAGTTCAGCGCATAACAGCTCGGAGGCTGAGGAGTCACTGCTGCAGGTGTCGGGTGTCACCTGGGAACAGTTCCAACAAGCGCCTGCTGAGCTTCTGCTTGTAGCTGGTGAGGAAGTCGTGCCATGTATGCTAGGACCCTCGCACGCCTTCTTTTCCTCCTGCTCTCAAGGATACGCCTGTCTTGTAGCATTGAGCAAACCGGCTCTAGTTTGGTACTAAAACTAACCAAATAACATCCATGCCCCTACAAGGAATAGACTCACAGGAACCAGAGAAATAAAAAGAATGTGGAACTTCATATGACTACCATGACTCACATTCATTAGGAAGTAAGATGCTGAGACTGTATTGGGAGGTTGCCCTTCTTCCATGGGTTCTCATAGGTGAGTCAGAAGAGGCATTCAGCCAAGGGCTTGCGCTGCCAGCTTCCTGGTACCTGCACCTCCCCATGGTGGCAGAGGTTGGCACTGCGATTTAGCATCCAAGTCTGATCCATGAGGATCCTGAGAGGGTCAGTGCAGCCCACAGCCCACAACCCACTTTCCTGGCACAGAAGGGTGTGAACCCGTTCTGCCCTCCTGGGAAGCCATGAGCACACTCTCCATCCCCACCCTGGAATTTTGTAAGGGAAGGCTCTTTTTTCATTTCATATATGAACAAAGAGAGAGAAGGCCTTAGTCATTCTAACGTAATGATCCCAGTTTAGCCGAAGAGCCTCCTATGCATAAAATGCCCAGGCATAGCAATATGTATAAAGAATGTCACTGGAAATGATGGTATGTCATCTTGGATCTTCGGATGGGGGAACCTGAGGCACGAGGTTCAGAGTTGGTGTGTGTCATGTGACACAGCTCATCAGTGGAAGGGCCCTGAGGATGAACTGTACTTTACAGGGATGCTTTTGAGTCTTTTCTCTCCTCTTTGACTCTTTTTTTTTTTTTTTTTTTTTTTTTTTTTTTTTTGGGGGGCGGGGGAGCCTCTCACTGTTGTGGCCTCTCCCGTTGTGGAGCACAGGCTCCGGATGCGCAGGCTCAGCAGCCATGG